TGCTTGTTTCTAAACACAAGCCATCTTAGGTCATACACAAAACATTAACTTACTGCAGTAGTATTATGGTAAATATATTTCAAAAGCTCTATCAGGGTGGTCTTTATGCATGAATCCTCACTTAACATTGAGTACATTTGTAATCATTTACAAATTATTGATGCTGAATTTTCTTTATAAACAGTAAAATTGATTCTATGAGATGGGAAATAAGTGCTGGACATTGCAAACACAATCCAATTAGAATAGTACTAACTGAATTATATCTTGTTTATATTAATTAATCTATGGTAAAATTAGTTTCATTCTATTTCATGTTGTAGTTTATAAAAACTTATAGATGATATTAAGTGAGGACTTGATGTAGTTAATATGCCTTTAATATCTGTGTAAATATGAGCTTAATTACATTGGTCTTGAGAGCATGTTAACTGGAGTTCAAAACAATGCATCAATGTGCTTTTTACAAACCAGTCTCAGTTCCAAAGTAGTTCCCAATACACTCTGATATGAAGAGAGGCTTAAACATCTTATCAACCCTCTAAAATTTATAAAAACACTATTGCAAAGGTGGCTTGTTGGTACAAGTTAGAATATTAATCAGCAGTTACACAAATCCTCACATCTATTGACATGGTACAATAAAGACAGTAAGGCATCACAATGAAATCCTAAACCTGTATGTCCAACTCTATTTTGTTGCCTCAGGCCCTGATTCCATTTTAATGGACAATAATGGTTATCCGTGCATAATTTGTCTCGTTGCTGATACCTATAGAATGAAACAATTGCTTAAAGGGAATAGCTATCTAGATCATCTGATCCCAATCAGATAGAATTTGGGACACTCTAAAAAGATGAATTGCAAGCCTAAATACCCTTCCATGAACTCTGCAGGAGCTCATAGCTGCTTGTAAAAGCAGCTATGAGCTCCTGCAGATTTTTTGCTAATTCCCTCAGAATCTCATTGACAATCCTTGTCAATTATCTCACTAGTATCAGTGGAGTAGCATGGGTGTCAACCGCCCAGGGTGGAGGAAAATTTCACCACCCCCTTTATTAGGTATCTTAATTTAAAACATTAAAATTCAGTGTCATCACAGAATAAGTAATGAAAAATTCCATGCTAGTGTTGCCACCTTTTTAAAATCGCCGACCCTGATGGCAGGTGAGTTTTGTTCAAACAGAAGTTTCTGACGCATGCGTATATCATTTTGCAATGAAGAATAATTTGCAGTGCATGCTGGTTCTAAATCAGTTACAGTTAGCGACTAGGGAGATTTGGGTAAGAGTAATGCAAGTAAACTAGATGACTTAACCCTATTGAATATTGGAGGTGTATAAGAGTACAAATGAATTGTACAAGCAAAAAAAAAAGGTCAACAGGTTGCGCACAATATCACCGAATGGCGGGTCGGATGACAACACTATTTCCACTATTCCGTGCTCATTTCATACGGTCAAAATCGTAAGTGGACAAAAATATGATATAAAGTGGTTCAAATTCTTACAAGATATTATTATTATTATTATTTGTCAAATTTTGCTGCCCCTATAACATAATTTTGCCACCCCCTAAAAAGTGCTGCCCGGGTGAGCCGCCCCCCTATGCTAAGCTACTGACTAGTATAAATCCTTTATGTTAAGCCTGAAGAGATCAAACACACTCTTGAAATGGCTTCACATTTGTATATTGTAATGTAAAAGTTTGCTGTTTACTGAATAAGACGCATATTTAGCAAAATGTTTAAAAGAATTTTCTCTTGTTGCACACAATATTGACATTTGTGATTACAAATCTTTCATAATTTAAATCAGATAGAAAAAAAAAATTAACTTTTGAAATAAATTATTATTATTATTTTTAAAATTAAGTTGACAAATTAAATAAATATAAAATAGAAAAGTATAATAAAAATTATATATTTTCAAAATTACATACTTTTTAAAACACACTACTGCATATCTATCTGTGCCTTGGCCTATTACTTTTACCATGGTGACCTTTCCATGCTTTTTGTATTCATGAAATAAGCCATCTTTCAGGCTTGTATCTAAAAAAATTATTACCCATAAATTATAAAAATATTTAGGTAATGTTATCAAAATGATAAAAATAATGTAATAATTCTTACCAGTTGACCTTACAGGTAAATTTTTTACACAGATACCCAATGGCCTTTTTTCATCTTTCTCGTTACTATCTACAGAGACAGGGACACAACCCTGTGGTTGATTAGACACCTGAGAATTATTACTTGTTGCAGCTGATACGGTAGAAGATAAATATGTAGTAGTGTTCACTAGACTGACAGCACTTGCTGACCGTCCCCCTTTATTGCTTCCTTGACTTCCATAGGAAGCTCTAAATAAAGATAAATTACATTATATTTAAAATTCAAAAATTTATTTCTTAATAAAAAAAAATAACTTACGCAGGTGATCTTGATTTTGAAGGTGATCGAGATCTACTACTGCTATCACTTGAACTACTGCGTAGTTTTGAGGAGGAACTGGACGAATGACTGCCACTTGTACTCCTTGACCTGGATCGAGATCGTGAACGTGAATTTGATCTAGAACCCGAAGGTGAGCGTGACGGAGATCTTCTTTTATGTTGCCTTTGCCGACTGCCGCTCCTAGAATGAGGTGGGGATGCAACAGTAGAACCAACTGTTGAAGTTGCAGAAGTATTTGGCCTCCGTGTTAAACGATTTACATTTGATGTCGAGTCTCTTTCATCACTGTACTGATCACTAGGATACCTTTGTTGATCAAAATGCTGTCTAGTAGCATTATGGCCACGAAAATGATTTTGAGTTCTAGATAATAAGAAATAAAAACAGTCACTTCATATTCACTTAATTTTATTAATTAAGACAGTGAAATAAAATTATTTAATAATAATGTAAAACCATAATCAATAATTAAAATTATCCAATTCATATAATATTAAAATACTAGTTGGAATGAAAATTGTCAATCAAAATCATTTAATTTCAGTTTCTGTAAGAAAGAAAATTAGCATTAATTGTATCATACGAATTATTTTGCTCAATATATAGTAGACACTTTGTAATCTGACATATATTGGACTGGTGGGTGTTGAATTACAACAAATTGTCAGATTACTGGATTTTGTACATATGTATGTACCGGACTGACACATGTATGTACATCAGTCTCTTTATGTCACATTGACAAGAGGTAACATGAAAATTTCATGTGCAGTTTGAAAACGTTTCTAAACCATTCTGCCAATTCTAACATCTAGTGATATCACTTCCTAGTATCTGCTACAAAGTCGCACACATGTAGATTAACTTAGGAGACAGACTGTTACCTCACATGAAACTACTTGTCACTTATATTGCTTATACCTTAATTCATATATATATATATATACACACCTTAATTCACTTAGATACTATGATTTTAAGCTACTTAAGAAAACATATAGTATATTGCATTAAAAAGACTAAAAAATTTATCATGTATCAAAAATAAACAAAATTTTAAAAATATATTTGAAAAATGTATTCTCCTTTTTGAGAATTTCTTTACTTAGTTTTATAATAAAACAATCATTTGAACAAATATGTAGTTACTAATGATAATTTCATATGTTTTATTTCTTAAAAGTAATTTCCACTTTATATTATTGCAAGAGTGATATTTATTCATTTGTAATTTTTGTTTTTTGAAGAATTTTACAATATTTTGTTTAATATTCCAAAATGTTATTTTATAAAGACAATAGATATTATTATATTCGAAACATGTTTCTTCTCTTTTTTAATTAACTATTGAGTGTTCAAGAATATAAGAACATTTATATATATCTATGATTGGTTGAACATGAAAAATATAAATTCCAGACAAAATATTTCTAAACTGAAGTATAGTTTCTTGATTTTTCATTATATTTAATATTTACTCAAAATGACATAGAATGAGTATTATTTATTGTAACATTGTCACAATGCCAGGCTGCAATTTTTAATATTTGAAATTTATTTCATTTAAAATATATGCTCTCCACCACAAATTAGTACTGAAGTGTCTGCCCCTGTACATCACACTTTTCCATTAGCAATGGAGTTGTGAGATAAAGGAAAGACAGACAGACGGAATTTATAGGTCTACAATATTTACAAACTGCAGTCCAATAACTTTTTCCAGATGTTTGTTTCAGGTGATTCTGTTCTATTCAATAAATTATGTAAAGGATTTTCCCTTACAGAGGAATAAAAGCATTACATTTTTAATTTTCTTTATATAATACATTCTTAAATGATACCAAAGTTTGTAGTTACAGCCAATTAACAATTATCCTTGCTTTTAATTCTTGAATTAGTAAACTACAAATGAACAAAACTGATAAACTATTTCANATAATGCATGTTGTGACATGATCTACTCGCAAATAAAACAAATGTGCCTGTGGTGTCGCTACTGCACCCACCGCAATGAGACAGGTCATAACCTGTCACCCGCAAAATGTACACATATTTTGCCGAATATTCGGCGCTTCGGCTGAGAGCGTAGCTGAATATTCGGTATTCACCAAAATCACTATTCGTGGCATCACTACAAAATACCCAATTTAAGTAAAAAAAAAAGGAAAAAGGCATGAAAAAATGCTCAGTGGTAAAAAAGAGGAACTAATACTACCTTCAAATGATTGTAAACTTAATAAAGAACCATTCTTTGATACTTTGAAAAACACTGTGCAAATAATGAACATCTCAACTTTCCAACTTTACTGATTATATTAGTATATCTTTTTAAATTTATCTTCACTTAATCTAAACATCCTATGAAATACTTTAAATAAAATTAATATCATATGAAATCAGAGAATTCATAAAAATTATGTGCACTATCATTTTAGTTATTTCAACATTGAACAATGATATTATATAATCCAAAAAAATTTTATATTTTTATTCTCTTAAATTGTTTCCATTTAAAAGATATCAACAACTATATAATCTTACCTGCAATCGTTTCCCTCCTAATATCCGGCCACGCATTTCAGAAACAGCAATTTGAGCATACTCTACTGAATCATAAAATATTAGAGAATGGCCTTTTTCTCTGTCAATAGCAGTATATCCAACAGGTCCAAAACGACTAAAATGACGTGCCAAAAATTTCTCAGAAACACTGTCAGCAATTCCATCTAACCACACACAGTTTGTTGGCATGCTTTTACCAAATCCAAGTTTTATTCTATTGGCACCAAGATTTTCTCCGTCTAATTTTCTCATTGCTTTCACTACACTAGCCACATCAGAGTATTGAATAAAAGCATATGATGTTGAAGACCCTTGTTTTTTAATATCAATTTCCTAAATAAAATATAAAATTATTATTACATATATCGTAAAAACAATAAATATAATATATATATACACAAGTATATTAGGAATGGACCAAATAGGGGTTTTTGCCAAATAGTGAATACTTATTCAGATTTCTGAGAACTGAATAATGAATATTCAGCCAAATATCAGTTGATTTATTTGGAAATGTCTGGAACAGAAGGCTTAGACACTAAGCTTTAGAATAATGTAGAGAGACATGGTCTTCTATTCAATAATAAACATTATATATATTTTCATTTTAAAAAAATTATTATTATGTACTAAAAAGTAAAAACTTAAATCTTGCCATTGAGGTCAGTTGATTTTGACAGCCTTACCAAGTAGTGCATTTAGTGAATGTACAGTATGTTCAGCAAAGCTGAAGGTATTTATCCAAATGTACCTTATAGTGAAAATATTTGTACACAATTTATAATATATAAATTTGAATAATAAGTGTTAAATATATTGTATATATTTAAAATTTCCAAAATAATTTAATCACAGTAAAACTGTACAAGTGAACATATAAAACAAGACTGATATAAAATGGATATATATTTTTTTCATATAACACATATTATTACTGTATGATAAAAAAGGATGTTTTGTTATTGATTTTATGGGTAACCAAATATTTACATTAAAGTTTAATTAATCATACAGAAAAAAAATCAGCTTACAGTTTAAAAAGCCATATAACAATTCAAAATTATTGTAATTTCCTACAAATAACCCACAGGTTATTTGTGTTTTAAAATCAATTTGAAAGTTGATGCATGTTAACTGTCAATTTTAAATTGCAGTTACAAGCTAATCCAACAGATTTATTTTTGTCTAAACTCACTAACAGCACCTTTAAAATCATAAATCTTTTATATGCTTACACATATTCTTCTGCTATTGCTGTATTTTCTGAAACCACAAAATATGTATATATATATATATATAGTTCTTTCATGTTTTTACATCAATTCACATTTCAATTGATATTATTAAATATTTCTACTTGAACTTGTAACTTAAAAGCTGATAAATTTCTGGTAATTTTTCTCCTAAATAGAGACCAAGGGCATACATATGAGAAGTTTTGGGTTTAATCTCCAATTTGAAAAAAATACAAAAAGAAAAATTGTCATCTATATACTTATATTGTAAAAGTTATAAACTATGAGTAAACTGAATTATGGAAAAATAATGTACTTTTCTAAAATCCTGCTCTTTTAAAAAATACTGCACATGAGCCTGATAATAACTCAGAAAATTATTCAGAAGCATACTGTCAATCTTAATGAAAGTTAAATCTCTACACTGAATAAGAGCCAATGGTATCTCTATCTCCAAGCACAAAGTCCTTCTCCTCTTACTTGCAAAGTCCTTCTCATGATTACTTGTAAAGTGTTTTGCATTTGTCTAGCCAAATTCCATTTGAATATCAGTGGAATAAGTGTATAACTCCTAATAAGTGATTTAGTTATGCTAGTGTAGTTTTCAGCCATAAGCATGTCTGAAAGTGTTGATTGTGGTTGAATGTATTTTGGTAATAACTTATATATTTATTTGTATAGTTTGTATTATGGACTTCATAGACTTCCAGTGGGTCACATGCATTTTTTTTTTTGTGAAGTTGAAAGCTTTTAAGCCTGTTGATTACAAACCCATTTGATAAAATAAACAGATTCTGCTTGATGTGATTTAACAGATTAAAATATTAATAAAAATACATAACAGAGAATAAAATTGTCTTCACTTTCCGCCATGTCCAATTACCAGAAACAACTATCTTCCACTGCAGAGACAACCTTTCTTTAGTGGCTATGCCTCTGCAAAAAATGCAAAATAGTCTAAAAGTTTACAAGTGACAATCCCAGCACAATTAAAAATGTATTTCTTTTGTAAAAATGCAGAGGCATAGCCTCTAAAGAAAGGTCATCTCTGGAGTGGAAGATAGTTGTTCCTGGTGATTGATTGGACATGGTGAAAAGTGAAGACATTTTTAGTCTTTGTTACATATTTTTATTAAATTGTAAATTTGTCAGCCTTTTTTACAAAAGGTTAAAATATATTCAAAAAGTATCTTTATTTCACTCATTTCCAAATAAACAATTAATTTAAAAATTGCTTTCTTTATGTTTAAATATAAATATTGTATCTGTTTATTTTAAAAAAATGAACATTCTTTTCAAGAATAAAAGTTATATTTTTTGTCTATCTTTAAAACTAATGATTTATTGTACTTACAATAATTTCACCAAATTGTTCAAAATGTTTTCTTAGTTCAGTTGTCGTGATGTCTTTTTCTAAGTTTCCAATGAATAATGTTCTCGTAGCTTTAGGATGATATTCATCAAGTTCTGCTTCTAAAGGCCTAAATTCATTATCTTCACCATCTATACCTTCATGTGCAGTTACCTCTATTCTACATCCAAAGAATAATTTGTCTTTTGATACTTCTAATGCTTTGTCAACATCTTCAGTTCTAAAAGATAAAATACAAAATATTTAATTTCTTATAATAACAGCAAAGAAAAACAATTTTTTTAAAATACTGTTTTGTATAATATCAATATAATCTGTTATATATGTGTATCAAGTATTATGAAGATACACATAAATGAAATTTTTTAATAAAATTACCATATTTCTGTGAAAGGTGGAGGAAATCATAGGCATCTCTAGCAAGATTATCATGAATATCATCTATAACCACAACAAAAGAACAAGAAAAAACTTGCAAGATTATTTACCCTAAAAATTTTGGGCAGAAAGCAAAATATAATCAACAGAAAAAACAGCTTTTTATCAGTCATTGCCTCCAGAAATGTCTGTATCTAAATGTATCCTGATGTCCTATCTTTTGGATTATGTAACAGGAGTATTTTAGCTACTGTAAAATATTGAAGAAACTGAATCTGACCCTTGGGTCAGAGTCAGTTTCTTCAATATGCTGGTAAAATTCAAAACTCCAGTAGCTCCTGCTTGTGCCAAGGCACAAGCAGGAGCTTCTGGAGTTTAGCCAGCATCATTTCTCTCAAGATGATGGTTTTAATGTGATAGTTTTTCAGATAAAAAGCAATTTTCTGTAGATGGCTCATACAATTTGTACTTGTATATGCTCAGATATGATCTTACTTCCCTGAGTATAAACCTGTATAGAATCAGCAGATGGGAAATGTGTTATAACTTTAGGGCAGTCACTTCAATGGAAAACCTCAAAGTTTAAGTTGTTGATCAGAAGTATAACAGCAGCTCTTATTTTGAGAAACTTCAGCATATCTTTCTCCCTTGGCCAGTTTGACTGTAAAACATGGATTGACAGCATCTTAAAAATTTGAGATTGTAATATTCTTAAAAATAAGCAGAAAAAATCATTTTAAGTGAAGAAATGAGATGGAGAACAATAGAATAACTCAACACTGGACAAAGTCAATTACTTATAGCAAAATGGCTAAATGTTCATAATAAAGCCTTCTAAATCAGTACAACAAACAAGCAGAATCATCTCCTAGAGACCTGTTTCTGGATATCCTTGAAAGGGCTACAACTATGAGACATGACCATTTGCTTGTTTCTAAACACAAGCCATCTTAGGTCATACACAAAACATTAACTTACTGCAGTAGTATTATGGTAAATATATTTCAAAAGCTCTATCAGGGTGGTCTTTATGCATGAATCCTCACTTAACATTGAGTACATTTGTAATCATTTACAAATTATTGATGCTGAATTTTCTTTATAAACAGTAAAATTGATTCTATGAGATGGGAAATAAGTGCTGGACATTGCAAACACAATCCAATTAGAATAGTACTAACTGAATTATATCTTGTTTATATTAATTAATCTATGGTAAAATTAGTTTCATTCTATTTCATGTTGTAGTTTATAAAAACTTATAGATGATATTAAGTGAGGACTTGATGTAGTTAATATGCCTTTAATATCTGTGTAAATATGAGCTTAATTACATTGGTCTTGAGAGCATGTTAACTGGAGTTCAAAACAATGCATCAATGTGCTTTTTACAAACCAGTCTCAGTTCCAAAGTAGTTCCCAATACACTCTGATATGAAGAGAGGCTTAAACATCTTATCAACCCTCTAAAATTTATAAAAACACTATTGCAAAGGTGGCTTGTTGGTACAAGTTAGAATATTAATCAGCAGTTACACAAATCCTCACATCTATTGACATGGTACAATAAAGACAGTAAGGCATCACAATGAAATCCTAAACCTGTATGTCCAACTCTATTTTGTTGCCTCAGGCCCTGATTCCATTTTAATGGACAATAATGGTTATCCGTGCATAATTTGTCTCGTTGCTGATACCTATAGAATGAAACAATTGCTTAAAGGGAATAGCTATCTAGATCATCTGATCCCAATCAGATAGAATTTGGGACACTCTAAAAAGATGAATTGCAAGCCTAAATACCCTTCCATGAACTCTGCAGGAGCTCATAGCTGCTTGTAAAAGCAGCTATGAGCTCCTGCAGATTTTTTGCTAATTCCCTCAGAATCTCATTGACAATCCTTGTCAATTATCTCACTAGTATCAGTGGAGTAGCATGGGTGTCAACCGCCCAGGGTGGAGGAAAATTTCACCACCCCCTTTATTAGGTATCTTAATTTAAAACATTAAAATTCAGTGTCATCACAGAATAAGTAATGAAAAATTCCATGCTAGTGTTGCCACCTTTTTAAAATCGCCGACCCTGATGGCAGGTGAGTTTTGTTCGAACAGAAGTTTCTGACGCATGCGTATATCATTTTGCAATGAAGAATAATTTGCAGTGCATGCTGGTTCTAAATCAGTTACAGTTAGCGACTAGGGAGATTTGGGTAAGAGTAATGCAAGTAAACTAGATGACTTAACCCTATTGAATATTGGAGGTGTATAAGAGTACAAATGAATTGTACAAGCAAAAAAAAAAGGTCAACAGGTTGCGCACAATATCACCGAATGGCGGGTCGGATGACAACACTATTTCCACTATTCCGTGCTCATTTCATACGGTCAAAATCGTAAGTGGACAAAAATATGATATAAAGTGGTTCAAATTCTTACAAGATATTATTATTATTATTATTTGTCAAATTTTGCTGCCCCTATAACATAATTTTGCCACCCCCTAAAAAGTGCTGCCCCCCTATGCTAAGCTACTGACTAGTATAAATCCTTTATGTTAAGCCTGAAGAGATCAAACACACTCTTGAAATGGCTTCACATTTGTATATTGTAATGTAAAAGTTTGCTGTTTACTGAATAAGACGCATATTTAGCAAAATGTTTAAAAGAATTTTCTCTTGTTGCACACAATATTGACATTTGTGATTACAAATCTTTCATAATTTAAATCAGATAGAAAAAAAAAATTAACTTTTGAAATAAATTATTATTATTATTTTTAAAATTAAGTTGACAAATTAAATAAATATAAAATAGAAAAGTATAATAAAAATTATATATTTTCAAAATTACATACTTTTTAAAACACACTACTGCATATCTATCTGTGCCTTGGCCTATTACTTTTACCATGGTGACCTTTCCATGCTTTTTGTATTCATGAAATAAGCCATCTTTCAGGCTTGTATCTAAAAAAATTATTACCCATAAATTATAAAAATATTTAGGTAATGTTATCAAAATGATAAAAATAATGTAATAATTCTTACCAGTTGACCTTACAGGTAAATTTTTTACACAGATACCCAATGGCCTTTTTTCATCTTTCTCGTTACTATCTACAGAGACAGGGACACAACCCTGTGGTTGATTAGACACCTGAGAATTATTACTTGTTGCAGCTGATACGGTAGAAGATAAATATGTAGTAGTGTTCACTAGACTGACAGCACTTGCTGACCGTCCCCCTTTATTGCTTCCTTGACTTCCATAGGAAGCTCTAAATAAAGATAAATTACATTATATTTAAAATTCAAAAATTTATTTCTTAATAAAAAAAAATAACTTACGCAGGTGATCTTGATTTTGAAGGTGATCGAGATCTACTACTGCTATCACTTGAACTACTGCGTAGTTTTGAGGAGGAACTGGACGAATGACTGCCACTTGTACTCCTTGACCTGGATCGAGATCGTGAACGTGAATTTGATCTAGAACCCGAAGGTGAGCGTGACGGAGATCTTCTTTTATGTTGCCTTTGCCGACTGCCGCTCCTAGAATGAGGTGGGGATGCAACAGTAGAACCAACTGTTGAAGTTGCAGAAGTATTTGGCCTCCGTGTTAAACGATTTACATTTGATGTCGAGTCTCTTTCATCACTGTACTGATCACTAGGATACCTTTGTTGATCAAAATGCTGTCTAGTAGCATTATGGCCACGAAAATGATTTTGAGTTCTAGATAATAAGAAATAAAAACAGTCACTTCATATTCACTTAATTTTATTAATTAAGACAGTGAAATAAAATTATTTAATAATAATGTAAAACCATAATCAATAATTAAAATTATCCAATTCATATAATATTAAAATACTAGTTGGAATGAAAATTGTCAATCAAAATCATTTAATTTCAGTTTCTGTAAGAAAGAAAATTAGCATTAATTGTATCATACGAATTATTTTGCTCAATATATAGTAGACACTTTGTAATCTGACATATATTGGACTGGTGGGTGTTGAATTACAACAAATTGTCAGATTACTGGATTTTGTACATATGTATGTACCGGACTGACACATGTATGTAATCAGTCTCTTTATGTCACATTGACAAGAGGTAACATGAAAATTTCATGTGCAGTTTGAAAACGTTTCTAAACCATTCTGCCAATTCTAACATCTAGTGATATCACTTCCTAGTATCTGCTACAAAGTCGCACACATGTAGATTAACTTAGGAGACAGACTGTTACCTCACATGAAACTACTTGTCACTTATATTGCTTATACCTTAATTCATATATATATATATATACACACCTTAATTCACTTAGATACTATGATTTTAAGCTACTTAAGAAAACATATAGTATATTGCATTAAAAAGACTAAAAAATTTATCATGTATCAAAAATAAACAAAATTTTAAAAATATATTTGAAAAATGTATTCTCCTTTTTGAGAATTTCTTTACTTAGTTTTATAATAAAACAATCATTTGAACAAATATGTAGTTACTAATGATAATTTCATATGTTTTATTTCTTAAAAGTAATTTCCACTTTATATTATTGCAAGAGTGATATTTATTCATTTGTAATTTTTGTTTTTTGAAGAATTTTACAATATTTTGTTTAATATTCCAAAATGTTATTTTATAAAGACAATAGATATTATTATATTCGAAACATGTTTCTTCTCTTTTTTAATTAACTATTGAGTGTTCAAGAATATAAGAACATTTATATATATCTATGATTGGTTGAACATGAAAAATATAAATTCCAGACAAAATATTTCTAAACTGAAGTATAGTTTCTTGATTTTTCATTATATTTAATATTTACTCAAAATGACATAGAATGAGTATTATTTATTGTAACATTGTCACAATGCCAGGCTGCAATTTTTAATATTTGAAATTTATTTCATTTAAAATATATGCTCTCCACCACAAATTAGTACTGAAGTGTCTGCCCCTGTACATCACACTTTTCCATTAGCAATGGAGTTGTGAGATAAAGGAAAGACAGACAGACGGAATTTATAGGTCTACAATATTTACAAACTGCAGTCCAATAACTTTTTCCAGATGTTTGTTTCAGGTGATTCTGTTCTATTCAATAAATTATGTAAAGGATTTTCCCTTACAGAGGAATAAAAGCATTACATTTTTAATTTTCTTTATATAATACATTCTTAAATGATACCAAAGTTTGTAGTTACAGCCAATTAACAATTATCCTTGCTTTTAATTCTTGAATTAGTAAACTACAAATGAACAAAACTGATAAACTATTTCAAAATAATAATTACATATAATAAAAGAACTTTATAGAAAAATATCTTGTCTTTACAGATCATAATTATTTGAGCCGTTTATTTTGAAAATGGGGCAAGTCCAATTTTTGTTATTGCGAGATATTTAAAGGTTTGCATTTCAATAAATTTAAAAATATTGGTAAGTATTAATAGATATATTTTTAATATTTTGTGGTACCAGATAATGTAAGTTTATAATCCAATAGTGTTTACAGTGCTGACTAAAAAAAGTAAGAGTTTCATTATAACTAAATGGACTTGCCTCACTTTCAAAATTAATGAATTATTGTAATCGTTCATTTAATTGGGAATTTTTTCAGTTGCATCAGCCTTTTTTTAATAATAAAAACAAAATACTATTCAAATTTTTATAAATATTTATTCATTTGATAAAAAGTGAAACAAAACAAAGAATATTCTAGTAGAAAATATAACATAACAAAAAAAATTCAGTTTTATTAAGAATTTCAATCAAATTATACATTTTCAGTTTATACGTAGGTATAACTAAATGAATTTTATTCAGGATTTAACATTTTAAAATATTCATGATGAACGGGAGGTATATATGGTAATAAATCCATCATGTCCTTGTATTTTTCAGATGTAATAGATCTCCTTTTTTCATACAGAAAAGATAACTTTATATTTCCGAAATTACTTGGTCTTCCTCGTTGTGGTGACAAATCGATAATTTTAAATTCAGCATCTCGTTCTATCGAAGTTTTGTAGAACATTTTGTATGGTGCATCCCTTGTAAATCTGATCCAGCATATATTTAACCAATTCACGGTTTCTCCATCGGTATTTTTGTTTCTTTTTAAAACTGCTTTCCCCAGAGGTTGGGTTGAAAAAAAATTTTCGCGTTTCATTTCATGTACTAAAAATTTATTATGTTTTCGACAATTTCGTATTAGTTTATAGTAATCCTGGGGAATATACAAGGAACTGGCTTTCCGGATTGCCATTTCTACCACTCCAAAATCACGATCGTTCGGTAAAAATGAATGTCCTGAAAATAAAAATTTGTGATCAATGATATTTATTTCATTGTCACCAGACTGAACAATTTTTATCCACATTAAGGCCAACTTTATGTTTCTATTTTGGCCAGTGCACATGTCACTATAAGCTATAATGTGTTTTTGGGTTGTCACAGTCTGTAAGTGCTTCAAACAGCAAGATGCTACTTCTTGTGCTCCTCGGGATGCTATAGTTTCATCCCAAACATACACACTAACTTCATCATTATGAAAATTGTGGAAGCCTTGATTCAATACATACATATTCCGCTTATATTTCTCGGTGTTGGAAGTAAACCTATTATTATCGAAACACAAAATTAAGATATACTTTTTGTTATTTATGAAATATTGTACAACCACCGACTTTCAATATCAAAGATAGATAGATAGAAACACCCTAGATTTCAGACATGATGTCAAACGGCCACATTGCTTCACCATACAGCAACCGGAGCTAAATTTTGCCGTAATATATGCGGTCAAAAATAATTTCAATCTAAGATGGACTTGCACCACTTTCAAAATAAACATATTTTCAATACTGTTAAGAGCTAAAACTTCCATCTCCCAAATACTAGAATCTGAATTTTTTTTTACTATAAATTGTTTACACATAAAAAGATCATAACAAGTTTTATCTGTAACTACCATTACCTCAATTTTTTTCAAAAATGGACTTGCCCCACTTTCAAAATAAATGGCTCATTTAATGCTAGTCTAGTTATTAAAAAAAGTCTTATCAATCAGTATATACCTAATATGAGGAGTCTCTCTCAAATTTATAGTTTTATACTTGTACTAGTACACTTAACATTTTCCCCACATGGTTTTTTTTTTTACAAAATCTTGAAATAACATGGTTGAAAAAAACTGACTTAATTTTCAAATTTAATAAAATAAAAAATTTAAAAATTATCATCAATATGAGCAAATGAAACAAAAGGAAGAAAGAGAGTTGATAAAAAGTAATTTATTAGTTCATAAAAGGTTTTCAAGTATTGCATCATTCAATCAGTTTATTTTTGAAGTAACATAAGCTCATAGCATTTTTGTCAGAGTGAAGTGCATAGGTCATGCTGTTAGGTGTACTAAAGAATAAAAAAATAAATATGATTTCTTACAAGTTTGCAGTATGTCTAATTTATAAGTTTTTACAAGTCTAATTAAAATATTTTAATTAGAATTTTTACAATAGATTGAGTTCAAAATGTCTAAAATTACAAAAGGAAAAAAAGAAAAACCACTTTATTAGAAACTTGGACTATAAAAAGCTTGGACTGCCTTGCAAATGGTGAAGATTCAACATCTGTGGGTAAAAGTTTTGGCTTGAACAAAGCAATTATTGGAACAATTAGGAGAAATGAGAATTCTATACAAAAATCTATCATCTGCAGATCAAAGCTTAGCTCAAAAATATCATCATATAGTAGAGAAAATGCAGTCTTAGAAAAAAATTGAAAATTTTTTGATGTTTTGGATTGAGGATTTGGTGCAAAAGAGGGTACCTGTGGATGGAAATATTATAGAGCAGAAGGCACCATGAATTTATAAAAAAACTACAGGAATCAGAACCATCAACATGTTTTTAAGCAACTCAAGGCAGAAAAAGGAATTTTTTGCTAGTGAAGGATTTTTTTTTTAAATTCCTTTCACAATATTAAAGTTAAAGGGAAAATTGTATCTGCAGATGAAAACACTGTCAAGAGCTTTCTAGAAAAACTAGCCAAAATAATAAGAGAAGATGGTTATGTTCCTGACCAGATTTTCTGACAATGCTGACAAACCAGGTCTATACTGGAAGAAAATTTTTATCACTTTGTTTACACAGTTTTTGAATGAAATACAGTTATTTATTTAATCTTACATGGTTTTTTAATAACTTGGAATGTATCTCCCATTTTACTATAGAAAACATTTGTTTTTTGTATGGTTTTCTACACAATTTTTTGAGGAATGTGTCTTCTATGTAAAAAAAAAGAGTTGGGTATATATACAATTGTATCACTGTTCAAAAATTATTACATTTGTGCATGAATAAAACACAGATATATATTACTATGTTTTATATATATACATTAGAAAAAAGTTTTCTATACATTAAAAAATTTTTAAATACATTAGAAAAAATTGCCATTTTAAAATATTGAAATGTACTCTTATTGCCATTAGCTCTCAGCAAATGAGTAGAGACATGGCATTTTATAAAAAGGTATTCAAAAACATAAATGAGTTAGAAAATTATCAGGTGACCAAAGTAGTTTGTATGATTTTTGTATACATAAACAAGCATCTACAACACAATGTACATATGTATTGTACATGCTGGGGTTGTGTGATAGCTGGCTGAGTGCCATAAGTGAGTGTTTACAGGACATTGATGCTAAAT